CCTAATAAGTAGTTGATAAATGAATGACTGAATGAATGAGTGAACAAATGAACATCTTGATGGGACTGCTGTGCCCAAGTTGAATGACAGAGGTAAAATTAGCTTAGATTTAGAGAGCTCTTTTTCTTGTGGGCACCTGTATGTGCAAAAAAGGGGCCTGCCATTTAGTGTGCATCCTACCCTTTAGGGACGAAATCAAGAAGGGAAGAAACAATCCCAGGGATCAACACGACTCAATGAGAGAACATAATAATCATGTTGAAAACAAAACCTTGAAAGTAGGTCAAGTGTGATGATGTTTGTAATGATGTCTGGGTATTTGCCTCCAGAAAATCAAAACTCAGTTATCCAGAATACTGAGAGAAAGGGTACATTTCATTCCTCTGTTAAGTGAAATTCTACTGCAAATATGTATATACATATATATATATGTCTTGCTTTAACTCCTGTTGCAGACTTTGATATTCATGTTTTAAGACACTTCACTGGGTTAACAGTTTAAGCATAACTTTATCCTACACTAGGATAACTGTAAAGAATGGGTGTACCCATTGCTTCCTAGTGAACTTGTTTTCTGGGCTTTGGATGGTAGGATTCTGAAGTGTATTCACCAGTATGGCTACAGAATCCCAGCATGTGTCTCGGGTGGAGAAATTGAATGGGTTAATGTCAGAGCTGAAAGGAACTGTTGGATCATCCAGTTCAGTTCTGCAATTGCACAAGTGAGGACACTGAGCCTTGGAGGGAAGAAGTGGTTACCTAAATTCTGTTAGCAGTAAGTGGAGAAGTCAGGGCTGTAACTCAGTTCTACTGAGTTTCCATGCAGGCCCTTCCACTACCATACAGACAAATTTGGGTCTTGCAGAGATTTATCCCAAGATTGCAAGACCCACAGCCTATGGGATTAACCAGTTTATTGTGAGGAACCTGAAGATTAGCAATAGGTCTAAATGAGGGTTTTAATCAGGATGGGAATCAGACAAGAATTCTTCCCTTGCTTCCAATGGATTCAGAGAACAGGATCTAAGAAAAGTACCAGCAAAGATATAATAAACTAAATGTGTTCTTGTATCCTGCTTGCCTGCCCAGCCAGCCTTAATCTCTCATGTTTCCTTTTCTTCTGGTCTTGACATTCTCCAATCCAAGTGGGATTAAATAAATGGTTGTTTGTTTTAGCACTAGGCAGACAAGAGACTCCCCAGCTTTGCATTTTTCCAAGCACGTAATCATCATACCAGGACACTCAGGTGATCAGCTTGGAGGCTGAAGGCACAGGAAATCTCACTGGTAACTGAGCCAGGGTTCAGGGAACCAGGACATCAAACCAATGGGCAGAGCATCTGTGCGTATTGGGAGTCAGAGGTGCAAAGCATGGGTGCTCAGGATTCCCAGAGCAACTGGATACCAGAACCCAGACTGGGTCAAAATTTCTGTTTTGACCCAAATTAATACAGATACAGGAACAGGGATGATGTACAACATCAAAACTAGAGGAATATGTTCAGGCATAGACAGGGACTGGGAGACTCACACAAGGGTCCAGAAACAATCTTACTGACTGAAATGGGTAGATGGGAGGAGACAGGGATGGTGTTGGAGCTCTTCTTGGAAACCCAGAGCCTTCTCTTATCCACTGTGACAACCTGGCTCCTGATTTCACCACCTCATCAAATCTTGCCCTTGTCAATGATGTTCTTCAATCCAGTCTCAATAGGCAGCTCTCAGTCTTCATCTTATTGGGCCTCTTGGCAGCATTTCTCAAAATGCTCTGCTCTCTAGGCTTCCTTAACACCACATTCTCTAGTTCTCTTCTGACTGATTTGATTGTTTCTTCTCTGTCTCTGGCAAGGAGTTCTTACTCCCTTTCTCTTTCCATCTGATGTTATTCAAGGTCTTCCCCATGCCTTCTTATTTCTTAATTTGACATATTCTCTCCTATGACACCTTCTACTCTCGTGGTTTCTCCTAGCACTCAAATTCTGGGGACCACCAGATCCTCATGCCTGGTACAGTTCTCTTATGCCTGAGCTTCAGAAGCGTGTGTTCAGCAGCTTTCTGGATCTCTCTCCCTGAATCTCTCCCAAGCACCTCAAACTCAACATGTCCTAAACTGAATTCCTAGTTTTTCCTTCTCAGTTTCCTTCCATTCCAGCATTTCTTATTTTAGTTGGCAAGTCTATCATTCACCCAAGCAAAACAACCTAGATGTCAATCTTGACTGATTCCTCTCCCTCATCGCCCACATCTATCATTTCATTAATTCATTCAACAAACTTTAATCAGTCCTGTGATTTACCAGGTATTGTTCTAATTGCCAGCTAAACAGTGGTAAGTGAAGCAGATACAATTCTTGTCTTCATGAAGCATATAAACTACTGGCTGACTTTGCCTTTAAAGTGTGTCTTTCCTCTCTTCCTCCATTTCTTTTATTACTAGCAGTAGTTGGCATGTAATGGATGCTCTTTATCGAATGAATGAATACATGAGTTGTAACTATCTGAACATCTGCTATCTACAGAGCACAGAATATGACACAGCAATCTGATGTCATTAAAAATTTCTAAGTACACATTATGAATCAATAGAAGCCAAAACATCTGGCCAATTTAGCTGGAATATCCCCAGTGAGGCATTAGTATGTTTTATCTGTGTTATGCAAACACTCAGATATTCTGGCCTTCTGTGGAATTGACTGGGTGTTTTGGCACAGCATAGGCTCAGCCAGAACAGTCTTGATCTGTTCCAGGGACACATTATGTCCCTGAATTGCACATATGGTTCACTGACCTCTAGAGTTAAGCATAAGTACAAACTCTGAATGCTTGTGATTGTTTTAATAAGTTCAGTAATTTCCAAAATGTTATTAGTGCTATGTGGTTATTTATGAATATCAGCACACATTCGCTGGCTCTTAAGTCCGAAGGCATCAAAATGCATTGAGATTATTTATGATGAAGACGGCAAAGACGGTTTATACCCAGGTAAAACTCAGGTGTCATAAGAAATATATGATATGGTTAAACACCCAGAATAACAATCTTTGACTAATAATGACATTTTTTACAATACTATTTGATGACATCAGCAAATATCTTTAGAAAATCAGCAAATAAATATTCCAAGTATTTCTATACAATTTTTATCAGATCAACCAACCATAGAATAAAACTAAGCATCGCCACCTCTTTCTTCTTGGTTCTCAAACATTAGTAGCAAGGTCAGGTACAACCGATATTAAAACAATAAGAAATTATCTCAGCTTCAACAATCAGCTTAAATGGTAAGAAGTTTCCAAAGGAAAGAATAAAAACAAAAACAAAAAGCCAAGAGAGGGAACTTCATTAGGTTGAGGCATATGTATTTGTCTCTTTAAATAACCAGCATTCAGGCTCAAGCTAACAATAGGCAGAAGCAGCAGAGAGGGCACTGTCAGCTGGCCATGCACCCACTCCATAAAGTATAGAAGATCATTATTCAAATAACAGCAAATTGTACCACGCACACTAGTTCAGGGATGGAAAAAACTAGGCACTGGTATTGGTGGTGACATGTGTAGGCATCTCCATAAAGTATAGAAGATCATTATTCAAATAACAGCAAATTGTACCATGCACACTAGTTCAGGGATGGAAAAAACTAGGCACTGGTATTGGTGGTGACATGTGTAGGCATAATAATTTTGGGGGAAATTAAACACTCACAAAGAGTAGTGAAGACCTAAGGGTAAACTCTAGTAAGGCACCTTGGGTAGATTCAACCTCCAGCTTTCCCCATGCACTGTCTTAACTCCTTCCCATGGCAAGGGAAGGACATTGAAGGGAACCTGGCCTCACAGTGCCCCATCAATCTTTCAAATGCAGAAGAAAGAGGGAAGACTTGCAGCATTTTAACCTTTTCCATTTTAAACATCTTTAAGCAGACAGATTTTTCTCATCTATACGTTAATGAGAAAGGTTCAGGTCTATGGATTTAAAAAGTTAACTCTTATAAGTCTTCATAAAGTTCCAGACACTGTTGGTTTTGTCTGTTTACTTCACGGTGCTCTCAGCTTCTGCTTGGCTCAGGAGCACGTCAGAAACTGTTTGTCAGGTAAATCTTCCACTTTGGGTTTTTTGTTTGTTTCTTTAAAAAAGTATGGTGGAGTCACACCATTTAACCTACATGAATTCAACTACATGTGCTCCATTTAAATGGTTAAAGTGAAACCCTGTACGAAGCAGGTGATTTTGCTGATTCTCTGAACAAGCATTCTGGGAGGACAGAATGTCTGTATCCACCTTGGTTCCCAACCTCGCTCAGCCTCAGTTCTCTAGTACCTCTCAGAGTCTGAGCATCTCATTGGGTTTAATGGAATTCTGGTATTTAAAGAAATAAACTGTATAACTAATTTTGATTATTTGTGATTTTCTCCTCATGCACTGACTTAGTAGTCTAAGATGTAATTCCATGCTGTATAAAAACAGAATGATGTGGGTGGCTTTGGAGTTGCATGCTGCTCCTGAGCTACATTACCCTTACTGTGGGCTTGACTTGGTGCTTTTATATTCCCAAATCAATAGTCCCCTCCTGATTTTGAATCTCAGAGGGCAACTCAGAAATTCCGACTGGACCAGCTGCCCAAAAAGAGGTATTCTCATGTACTTTACCCTCTCCTTTAGTTTAATGACATCAGGTTTATCTTTTCCAACATTAGTGTTTTTTTTTTTTTTGGTAAAATTACAATTCAGCTTCACAGGACATTTATTTTTAGCTAGGTTAAAAACAAAATTGGGGGGAGGGTGGGAACAAAAGTTGGGAGCCCTCTGGTATTTCGGGCACTTCCTGAAATTGCATACATAGGTTAATTCCGTCCTGAGGAGATAGATAAGTTTGATCACTTGCAATTATGGTGCTCAGAGCAGAAAAGGTTAAAGATGGATCAGTTTTCTCTGAGTGTCTGGGTTGAAGATGTGCTCAAGCATGCATTCGTGGCTAACCTGAAGAAGGAAGAGAGGACTTACGTTCTGTTTCCCCACTATGTTATCAAAGGGCAGTTCAGGGCTCCAGGATCCTTCTGTGAACGTCGCCCCACTGTTTCTCCTGTCTGAGGAGCTCACCGACTCCTTGACAATGTCTTCAGGCAAGGACAGAAGACCCTCCTCAGGCTGCTTAATTAAATAGGTCTCTATGTTATGCTTCCTCAAGAACTCGTTCCTCTCTTTACCATGACCCTCTTCCACGTTATAGTCACCGTTCAGGCAGTCCAGTGTGGCTTTGGAGATGTGAATCCTCCTGTGTGTACAAAGCATAGGTCATTATACATTCCTGATGGTGTCTGCCAAGGCTATTGCTGTTCTTTGTCCTGTGCAAAGCCAGTATCAGGGCTGTACATGGGATGCTGTCAGGTAGGACACATCCTCGAGGACAATACTTGTCCCCCTAAAAAGTGACAGGAATAAAACAGAAGTACGAGCATAAATCCATGAGCAGTGTATCACTGAAGCCTCTGATAAAACACAGCCATGCTAAACCACACCTAAGTACCTCTTTTGACTTTTTTGATGACTGCTGGTCTGATCCCAGCAAACTGTAAGAATCAGTGATTTTTTTTTCCAGTGGGGTTGATTATATTGGGAAAATAACTGCCATAGACATTTCTAAACCTCAGTGGCAATTATTGTCCAAATCACCATGCAGTAACAGTTCTCTTATTGTCTATTTTTTCCAGTGGGGTTGATTATATTGGGAAAATAACTGCCATAGACACTTCTAAACCTCAGTGGCAATTATTGTCCAAATCACCATGCAGTAACAGTTCTCTTATTGTCTTGGAACATTTCCTATCATTTCACTTTTCATATACAGTATTTGTGCCTTGTTTCTCCAACTTGTCTATAATCTTCTTAAGAACAGGGTAGGTTTTATAAGTCAATAAACTGAGGGCCTTTTGGAAAAACCATTGTAAGATATATCTTCCTCTATAACATTTGTATCACAAGGAGCAGAGAACAGAGCTGTGGACACGTGCACGCTGGCAGCTGGCCGGGCTCACTCACAAGTTAAATGACTCACTGCTGCACAATTGTCAGCCACTGTAGTTCACGATTCAAGTTTCTTTTTTAGCAAAATAACATATGACATCAAGGACCTTAAGGATCAAACTTGATTTGTGGAAACTCCGCATGGTAAATCCTTCTAGGGAAGAGTTTTTCTGTCCTCATGACTGTCTAACTCAGTCAGAATACTTCTTGTGCTGTACAGTGATCTGGGTAGACTAGCAAGTGGTTATGAACATGGACCATGTTGTTAGCTTGCTTGAATTAAAACCCCAGCTCTACCCCTTGCTAGCTGAGAGATCTTGGGCAAATTACTTAACCTTTCTACAAGTCCATTTTCTCACCCATAAAGATGAGAAAAATCAGAAGTTTCAGTGATACACTGCTCATGGATTTATGCTTGTACTTCTATTTTCTTTTATTCTTCTCACTTTAAGGGGGACAAGTGTTGTCCTCGAGGATGTGTCCTACCTGACATTGCCCATGTACCTACCTCCTAAGGTCATTGTGGGTATTATACGAGTTGATTCACGTAAAGTAGTCAAAACAGTGCATGTACACTGTGCATACTGTCAACCTTAAATAAAAATGTATATAGACACATCTCCAATCGAGGGGTTTATTTGGGAATAATATATAAGAATTGTAATTCAGGGCATGCAAACCAGGGTAGCCCCTAGGTTTGTTCCAAAGAACAAAGGGAAAGGTTGGGGTTGTACTGGGGAAAGGAGGAAGGTTACATAAGTTGTTTTGAAATAAAATTCATTGGGGACATCGGTGTCTTGCAGGAGTTGGTCAGTTCTGATTGGTAAGTGGCAGCAGTTGCTAGACAGAATCTGTAATCTTAAAGTCATTGCAGGCCTTGTGGTTTTGGAATGGGCTTGTTCCTGGAGCAGGCATTTGTTTTCCTCATGGCCTGCTGACTCTATTTTAGTTGGGTATGATGAAAATGACTCTATTTTGTATAGTCAACTTTCACAATACTATAACAGCAAATATTTAAATTATTAGGAGTATTCTCAAAAATGCCACTGTGATCATATTACTATTTTGTGTTCTATGTCTTCTCAAGGTTTCCAGGAGGCAGTTTAACTTCTGAACAAGGCCCTGTCACTTCAAAGCTCGTTTTCTGACACTCCTCCATTATAGTCCCCATCCTCTCTCCAGCAATTCAAGTAACTGGAATTTCTTCAAATTAAACGTGCTGCTGCATACTTACTGACAATTTTCTACTCCCTGATTGAGCTCAAAAATCATTTCCATGACCCTCTTCCACGTTATAGTCACCGTTCAGGCAGTCCAGTGTGGCTTTGGAGATGTGAATCCTCCTGTGTGTACAAAGCATAGGTCATTATACATTCCTGATGGTGTCTAAATGCCACTGTGATCATATTACTATTTTGTGTTCTATGTCTTCTCAAGGTTTCCAGGAGGCAGTTTAACTTCTGAACAAGGCCCTGTCACTTCAAAGCTCGTTTTCTGACACTCCTCCATTATAGTCCCCATCCTCTCTCCAGCAATTCAAGTAACTGGAATTTCTTCAAATTAAACGTGCTGCTGCATACTTACTGACAATTTTCTACTCCCTGATTGAGCTCAAAAATCATTTCCCTAAGCCAACTTTAGTGCTCCTTTGAATGAATGAATAATATATGCTTAATACTTTGCTTGGTTTTTATGAGTCTAGAAACAATACATATATCCAAGAAAACAATGAAGTGTTTTTTATCTTTAAATCTTCTAGAGTGGCATTTCCAAATGCACTGTGCTTTTAGTACTGTCTCTGAATCCCCCCTTACCCTTCTAACCCATTATGCTAAATTCCTGCTTACAGGGAGGATAGTTCATTGCAAAGGACATGTAAAGGAACAAAAACCACAAACAATGCATTTCTGATCATTTAAGGCACGTTCTCTGCATCTTCCAAATACCTTTGTATCCTCATATATAGTCACTGATTTCAAGTGCAAGATATCAAAAGTAAGTGTGAAAGATGTTTGAGCTCTCTTGAGATATATACTAAATAAATATACAATATTCTCATGATGTATTTTGTTAAATTCAATAGTATTGACCTCAAAGGATAACAAATCATCTGACCTTCCATGAAATGGAAGTCCCAGTTTACTTTCTAAGATCAAGTTTAGAGTTAGGTGCTGGAAGGCTGCTTTTTTCTCCTAGGCAAAACAGATCTAGGAAGGTTTTATGAAGGCTGATGGCTGATTTTCCTTTAAAATAATTAAGTTAAATAACACCCCCTTTGGCATTTCCTGTGGATTCTACATTTTATTATTCTACTGTCAGTGTGCAGGGGAACTAATATTTGCATATAAAAATCAATATTTTGTTTTCAGTAATAAAAGACATCCTCACCTTCGCTTATTACTGATTCTTCTGCTGAATTTCTAATCAATATACGCTTAAGTGGTTTGACAGAAACTGGGTTTTAGATGTTTCTTTTCATATTTGCTACTTACTTGAGCTGTGGGGTAAGGCATTCGCAAATTAGATTCTAGCGATTGAATTTCCCTCTTACGAAATGAGTCAGTTCTCAGGCAGTATTCTAATGTATTGAATGTCAGTTAAACCTTACACTTTCTGATAATTTTAAATGCTGGGGCATAATAATAATAGTCANCAAGGACTTTACTTTCAGGGTCTCTCTAATACTCTGCAGCTGTATTATATGGTAACTATTATAACCCTTACCACAATTAATATTTACTGGGCATAGGACAAAAGACTTTTTATGCAGTATCTCATTTGAAAAAATATCAAGAACAGTGGTCCTCAAAGTGTGGTACCAAGACCAGCAGTACCATCATCACCTGGGAACTTGCTAGAAAGGCATATTCTCGGGTCCCACTCCAGAATACTGAATCTGAAACTCTGAGGGTGGGGCCCAGCAATCTATGGTTTAACAAGTCCTCCAAGTGATTCCAATGTACGCTAAAGTTTGAGAACCACTGCTCTAGTAACTCAAGGTAGAGAACCAGGCATTTATTTTTTATTATATTATTTTTTTAAAAAGATGACTGTAAAGGGATCTTAACCCTTGACTTGGTGTTGTCAGCACCATGCTCTCCCAAGTGAGTCAACCAACCATCCCTATATAGGGATCCGAACCCATGGCCTTGGTGTTATCAGCACCACACTCTCCGGAGTGAGCCACAGACTGGCCCAAGAACCAGACCTTTAAAAAGCAGAAAAATATAAGCTCAAATAATCTCAAACCATGGAGAGTTTGAAGACCTGGTTTGGCTTTCCTGCATTTCTGCATGTTGGCACATCCGGTGCCTAAGCAGAGTTGGATATTGAACAGAAGAATAAGTGCTTTATTAGCACTATCACATATGAAACTAACTTTTTGAAGCTGATAGTGTTTTCAGCCCAATATTACAGTGAAGAAACTGGACAGGGAGATGAAGAAACCTGCCCCAACTTTCATAGCCAGTAAGCAATAAATCCACGGT